CTATATATAAGTCAAATTAACGTCTTAAACATACTCTATATCCAATATTTAATCAAATATTGTTCATATAGATTGAATTAAGAAGTGTATATATACTACTAGTACTAACTAAGATGGCCATATCCTGATCCTGTGCATTGTTATTGACTTCGTTCGTGATACCTTCCTAGTTTGGCATATAATCTTTAAAAATAGTCATAAGCTAATTTGTCTTTGCCAAGTTTAGACAAATTACATATTAGTACATATTTAAAGCTTGTGTGTAATTAACTGTGTACAAAAAGTCAACCCTTATCTTCAAAAATCGGATAGGATGTTTGGTTTGATAGTTGACTTTCAGCTCTGGTGACCATCTCCTTAATTAGAACACTTCAAACCATCATTTTTTCTTCCTAAAAAGATGGAGAAAAAACAACTATTTTTGCAATATTAATGACCTATCAAGATGTATCCCAAACCTTCAATATGACAAAAGAGTAGGGATAAACAATTCTTTCGCAATTACATAAATATCAATTAATGTGAAACAAGTATTTTTTTTATATGAAAATTTATTCCTTAATCGTAATTAAGTATGAATTCTCACCGTTGATTATATGGACGCCTTTGAAGAACGAGTTGACTGTGATCTTTTTCTTTTATTTTTTGGTATAATTATTTGGTATTTTTAATTTATTGGTCCACCACATTAATCATTAATGGTAGTTCCCTATATAATTGCTCCTAATTATATGTTAATTAGTTGCTTCACTTGTTTGGGACTATTTACTTAGCAGTCTCTTATCGGTGGTTACTCTCTCTAATGGAGTTAATAATAGGTCTTCAAATACTAATAAATTCTTTCTTATAATCTGGTTCAAAGCTGCAAGTTGATTAATTTGAGATGGGTATATAATAATTGCTACTAAATCACATGTACTTAATTAAAAGAACTACAACTAATTGAGATAAAGGGTCACTATATATAACCCATCTTATAGTGGAAAGCATTAAGCACCATACAGCCTTGTAAAAGGCTTAAATATTTTAGGGCAAAAGATATAGTATATACCAACCAAAGGACACCAAGGTACTCTAAGACAGATCGATCTGCATAAATAATTATTTACTGAAATACAAGCTATGAAATAGAATCCCGGCATGACAAATTTGCAATTCTAACACGAGATTGATGGATAGGATCTCTTCACTCTTAAGTTACGGGTTCGAGTCTTGAGAATGAAAAAACTAATCCTATTTCCCCTTCAATGAGTTTAAATCGGAGCGATTTCGAATTAGTCGAAATCTCAATACAAATATCGAATAGCACGTGAAAAATCAAAAAAATATTATTTTGGAGACTATTCAATATAATTTAAAGACCAAAATTGACACATGCAAATGTGCATGGTACATGAAACTTCCAAACTGCTTACCCTACTACTTTTGAGCCCATGGCGGCTAGCACCTGAATTATGAACCATTTCCCCATCCACCCACCCTCTACCGACATCCCCACCCCACCCAAAAGAAACTATAAAAAAATGCAAAGAAAATTATAATTGATAGTTAAAAAAAAAAACTAAATTTGAAAAATAAAGCCGAATCCAGTAATATTTTATCCCAATGTAAATCGATGATAAAAGGCTCTCCACTTCGGAATAAAATAAAGGGAATGAATATTTTAAGGAAGGACAGGACTATATATTACATTTTATTCTCCTTATCCGATAAGCTATTCTTGTATATTTAGAAAAGCACATTTCATTTGTCATCTTCACTTTGTGTGGTTGATATCTCCTTTACTACTTCCTCTCAACGAATTAAAACGTTCTCCAATTTCTTATATTGTATGTACACACCACTATCCTAAACTAATAGCTAGTGTCCTTTTTGCTTAGCTAATATATATATATATATATATATTAGAAACTTTAATAACCACTACTCCAAAATGATAAAGAATGCTTTAGAATGTTTCAGAAAAACATTGTGTGACTAATCTTTTAAGAGTTATGTCAGTCAGATTAAATTAAATGAATTAAAGGTATATACACTGATTGCATAAAAATCTTTTTTATGATTAACAACTATCAAGATTTACTTGTAATTAACTAATAAATGACCGAATCGTATAAATATTTTGTTATACCATCAAATATAAAACTTAAACACAAGCTAAATAAGACTGATCTTTGCTATTTCTATTAGCTAACTAGTGAATGACAACATCCTCAGTCAATCATGCGTCAAGCCTTAATACGCACGTACGTTTTTTTTGTTTTTCACTCGGTGTTCGGTATTCATATTGAACTCCGATTATATCCGGATTCGCATCACGTAGGGCCCCATTCGGGGAGAAGCGCTTCCTACCAAGGATTTTTCCATACTCATGGCTCGAATCCGAGACCCCTGGTTAAGGAAAGAACAGTGACATCCACTGCACCACAACGTTTGGGGTAATACGCACATACATGAATGAGTTTCATACATCGAACATGAACTTATATTTTTTTGGATTTTAATATTTAATTCTGAAAATGAAACAATATAGTCGACAAAAACAGAGGTGTGGGGTTGGGGGTTGCTTGGATGTCATTGGATCTAATTGACTAAAGGTGAGAACATAAGATCAAAAAAACGGAGTATGACGTACTAGTTTTACTATATTTATTATTTATTTATTTGGTAACACTACTATATTTATATTCTTCTGAGATAAAGCATATCACTTGGAATTTGTTCCTGTCAGAAGATAGAAAGAGGAATATCATGCTATTACTACTAAGGGTATTTCGCTCGGGTGTATAAAATAATACTACTGAATAAGGTGTATGAGTAATACTGAAATTATTTTTTATTGATCATTTGATTGGTATATTAAAAATAATATGTATTGCATTATTTTTTTAAAAAAAAATATTTATTTACAAAAACACCCTCCACATTCTTATCAATGTCTAAATTTAACTAATACTTGTAACACTCATTCACATTGTCAGTGTTTAATTTTTTTTAATTGTAGCATAAATAGTTGATTAACTAACATACTCCTATATGGAAGTGAAAAGTTTAGTAATATTTTTGTTGAGGAAGTGGCTAGTTGGCAATTTATATATTAGCAATCACGGGTGGAACTATTATCTCTCAATTTTCAATTTTAGTTTTTACTTAATGAAGATATTCTTTAGCTTAGGTTTTATGAAGATTAACCTAAATCAAGCACTAAGGAAACATAAATCTCGTTTAAATCTTAAAGCAAAAGTTAAGATTAGTCAGAAGTGTCACTTGGGTTTTCTTAACCTGTTTTTATTTGTTTGGCAACTGAGGAACACGAACTTTGATAGGTCAACTTTAAACTGGCTAGTTTTCTTTCTCTCTCAACTGGATTTACCTTTTGCTTTTCTGGATTCGTAATGGATGTGGAATTAGATTTGGGGGCATCTTATACCTCTAAATTCTTATTTTTGCCTATAATAATTCATGACTTCCTTTCATTATTTCCATAATTGGAAGCTGACAAATTAATGCAATAAATAACATTCCCTTTGTTAAGAATTTGTTGTCGTATGGGTAAAAAGGCAGCAAGTATCCCATATTTTACGTAGAGTTTAGAGAAGGGCCGCACTCATAATAGTGTGATGTAGACAGCCTACCCTAATACAAATATTAGTGATTGTTTCCACGGCTCGAACTCGTAACCTAAATGTCACACGGAGACAACTTTACCTTTGCTCCAAGGCTCCCCTGTTGTTGTCGTGTGGGTAAATAAGTAAAAGAGTTTAAGTAATACACACCAAATTGACAATACTAATATTAGAATTAAGTGGCAATTCAAGAATCAGGAGTAGTTTTATAATTAAGCCGTCAGAGCTACCCAAACAGGACCACGAAAAGTAGCCTTTTATCCCCTCTGCTTTTCTTTCAAAATTTCGTAAACCTTTCTTCTTCTTTTTCTTTTGCTCTTTCTTTAATTTTATTCGTTTTTACTTTCTTTCTTCTTCCCTTCCAATTTTGCATTTTTTTGTTCTTGAGATATAAAGCATCCTAAAAGAAGGTCCTTCACACATTGGAATTAGCCAAGGCGTTGTGGGTATCAATGGGTTCAATGGAATGCAATCACATGTAATCAATCCTAAGGGAAATCTAGTGAAATGCATTTTAAAGCTTCCTTATGTCTGTCTATCTTCCTGGAGGTTAAGAAGACTTTGATCTAATTCTTTCCTTTAGTTTACTGGTTGTGAAATCATAGCAAATTGGTTTTTCTATATCCATGGCTAAGTATTCACAATTGTTGTCATTAATTTGGGAAACTAAGGGAGCAGCTCCAAAACTAGGGGAATTTCTATCCTTTTGATTTGTGGATTCTTAACGAATTTGGAATTAGATATGAGTGAATATTGCACCTTTGGATAAGAAATTGGAGCATAATTGAATAATTAATACCAGAAAGCATATAAGAATTTGGTGCCTTGTTAGGAAATCGTAAACTAGCATGTCTGCATCATAAAAATGATACTATACCAGTACCCCCTAACCCCATCTCTCACATTTGCTATCGCACTATCGCAAAGTTTAGAAGTTTGACAATTTTCTTCAACTGGCGATCTTTCAAAAAAAGTTTTAAATATTTGGAAATTATGGTTTACACCACTTATTACCTTACATGTAATTTCTGAATATGTAACCATTATGTCAAAAAAAAAATAAGGAATTAATATATGACCTCCTTTTGGACAATAGAGCAGAATATCATAGGGTACTTTGAACACGAAACACTCTGTGGCTTTCATATTGCGCTGTAGATACTAGATATGCTTCAACTGAAAACTTTGAATAGAAAAGAGCCGCAGAACAATACATGAGTTCGAACCACATGTCATCTTCAATATATCAGATACAACGAATTCAAACTTATAGGAGTGGTATTTAGACCAAATAACATCAATTTCAAAATAATGTCTTCCAAAAGTAAACTATAACAAACTCAAGATACTCCAATATAGAGGTTGAGTCATTGCCTTGTTTGCACTGCACCCTCTAGATGGCCAGCTGGAAATATTCCACAATATGCCTCAGTAGTATGCTTTCCGAGGATTGTTCTGTGAAAACAGATATATCAACCTCAGTTCCAATTACAATAAAAATTTAAGACATCAATTTTCCTCCGTCCATCCCTCCCTCTTTCTAAACCGAGAATATCCCCAAACCAAGAACGAACAATGCCCTCGTAAGGCATTAAGTTTTACACGAATACACTGCCAGAGCAGATTCTCCCTCCTGTTAGGTGACGCCCGTGACGGTATACTTTTTTGTTGTCAATGTTACCCTTGATATTCTCCCTAGACTAGATAGAGGAAGGAAGTGATTTTTATCTTGACTCATAGAAGCTTCTATTGGCTTCACAAAGAAGGTGATGTCGAGATGGTTCCTTTTGAGTTTTCTTCTCATATTACTGTTGTCTTCTTATTTTCCCTTATGCAAACTGGATTCTATCGCATTTCAGACTACTTTGCTGAATAAATAGCAACACTAAATAACAAAGAGAAGTTACCAACCATCAAAAAGGTTCAGAAAAAGAGGAGATAAAGGTCATACCAACGGATTTGGCCTGTACTTGTAGCCTAGCATCATTCGTTTCTTATATTGCTCATAGATATCATCTTCTGGAGTTACCTCCCCGGGTTGGGAAGCACCAACTCCTAAATTATTTGATTTTACATTGCCGGCCGTGATTGGATCTGCAATACCACTTTTAGAGCTCCCTAGTCCTTCACCTGCAGTTTCACATAGAGATTTAGACTCCATATGAATTTACCACTTGTCATCCTAAAACATGACAAGGGCTAGTATTTTGTGAGTACGAACTCCTATTAACTACCTCGACAGATGTGCTTGACTTGCATATCATAGCAAAAGTTTTCAAGAATTTCTAGCATTGGCAACACGAGATGTACAATATTCAAAACTTCCAAGTCCAGGAAAGTTTGATAGCAACCTAGTTACCACAACAACTTGCTACACATCGTGTATTTATCCATTTAAATAAACAAGATGGAAGGGGGTTGCGCCTCAGACCTGAGGGTAACCTCATCAAGTGCAGAACAAAACCATCCCCCTACCCCATTGAACACTCAACAGAAGACTCTTAGGGCTCGTTTGGTACAAGGGATAAGGGGTAATTAATCCTGGGATTAAATTTGAAATGAGTTTATCTCACGTTTGGTTGGAAAACAAGTTATTCCAGGATTAATTGTGGCGGGATTAGTTATCCTGGACTGTAGTGTTATTTTTATCCTCCCGGCACGATTAATCCTAGGATAACTTGTTTTCCAACCAAACGACCCCTTAGGCTTAGGGTTAAACCGCCCTGCTCCTAAAGAAAGGTCTATAAGAAAATGGAACCCTCCTTTCCCCAAAAAACAAAGCATAAAAATTTGCTATGTGCTCCAAGATGAATAATAACCAGAAATGGAGACTCCTTAGCTATTACGAAGGTGATTAACAATAAACAACCCGAGTCTTTAGTTCTTTGAGATATTATATTTCAACAAAGGGATGGGAGAAAGATATGTATGCAGATTGCCAGATAATGTTATCAGGTGTAGCTATCTTAGTCAGCCACATTATCATAGTGGAGAATGAGTATAGCCAACAAGGAGTACACCCCACCTTCTGGGAGTTAAAGTAAATATTATTAACCAAAAAAAACGAAACATCTTAGTGGTGAATATTATCTCTAAAATTTACAGGTCCAAGTTATTTGCAGCCAACTCCGTCAACGTTTTCCTAAAAGGAGGATGATATACCTTCTTTCCAACCCATTTTAGACAGAAGTTTGTGGCCAATATTATCAGCTTGTATTTTCGACCTTTCTGCAGCCTCTATGGCAGCTTTCCGAGCAGCTACATCATTGCAGGTAGACAAAAACTTAGCAAGCTCTTCAGGCGGGATATAGTCTCCCATATGATGCCCCTTCTTTCCTGGAGCTGCAACACAAAATAAGATATCAGAAGACTTAGATATATTTTAATAAGCATTTTACTGGATCTATTTTGAGCCCAGATGCCTGAAGTTCTAAGCTTTAATAGGATGATCAGAACAAAGATATAACAGAATCGAATAAAATCAGCGACAAACCTTGGAGAGAAGCAGGCGGAGGCATCTCATCTTTTGAAGATTTGTATGGTCTCAGCTTCTCTTCTTCTGCAGCCTTCTTCATGTAATATTCCATCATTGATATTGGATCTGACCCCGATGGACCGCTTGGATGACCTGGAAAAGACAAAATATCAGTACAAGCCCAACCATCATTGAAAACCTTTCGGAATTTCGTGAAGTTCATCAAACATTGAATTTCTGATTATATGACAATCTGATGCAGTGCAGAAGGTGCACAAATAATGGCCCAAATGAAATTAAATTTTCCCAAAGAAACCAGTAGTTCAAAATCTGTAGCTTTAGAGGCACAAAACAGTCTTTGAGTTTTTTTTAAATGTTTTTTTTTCGTTTGAGCTCAGATGCCTGAAGTTCTAAGCTTTTCAAGGGGAATAGAGATATGTGATGAAAAATAATCCAATTTCAAAATTCAAGCACTATTTTTCTGTCCTCACGTACTCTAACCTCACTAGAAAACTTATCTGCCTCAATAAACTTGTGTATGCTAACCTAGTTTGACAAATTCAGGTATAAAAGCAGGATTTCCATTGTTAGCCATGACATTACACCCAAATCACATATTTCCAGGGTGAATAATCAAAACAAAAGTCCAAGAGAATATACACTGAATCACATATAAATGACACTACCAGATTTTCCAGCTGAATCTGAAGAACTTGTATTCTCCGCTGCTCCATATAATGCTGATGCAGGAATTTGGTAATTTGAATGCTGCTGATGTGACCTATGAGAACTACTCGTTGAACTAGGAGTAGCAGTGCTAGTAACACCTACAGCACCAAAAGGCTAATCAAGTAAATAACTGAAAAAATAATAGCAAACAAATATTACGTTAATCAAGTGAAGCCAAATGAACTAGACACTAGAAGCAAACAAAATGAAGCTGGCAACTTAGTTAGATAAGGCTCAAGGTGCTCAGCTAAAGGCACGCACATGCACAAACACACATATACACAGTACATAAAATGCCATATAAAATATAACCAGCTGAAAGCCTTAAGCTTGAATATATTGTAAAACTTCAACCATTTCACAGACTCATAGGACTCTAAATCATAATTTAGTCATAGCTTAATTTTGTTCCTCAAAAGAGGATGCACCTATGGCCAATACCTAGAGAGAGCATGTGAAAAGAACGGAAAGAGCAACTACATCTAGCTTCCTGAAAGGAAAAGACAACTCTTACTACCCAGTCACACTTTTACATACATAAAATTCAGGTATACCAGAGCAGCTTTAGTGCTACAGTTACTGCCAAAAAACAAACTGCATAAATACTTAGAGAAATACACGAGAAAGCTGGTAAAAGCATGGACTCCTATACATGGAAAGCACTAATTAGATTTATGCAAGCAATATAAGCATGCTGAGAATTTTTACGAACCACTAAGGGATGTTTGGGCATCCGTAGTCTGTGATAGAGCCCTTTCCTCTTCACTAAGTCGATATTCATAGTATTTGTAATCAGGACAGCTTTCATCAAACAAGAACCTACAAGTAGACAATGTCATTAACAATATTAAAATAAAGAATTTTCTTTTTCTTTGGGAGAGAGAGAAATTAAATGATTGACCATTACCGATACATTATAGGCTACAGATAAATCTACAGTAAAGCAAACTCATCAGATTGAACTCTAAAAGAGACCGATGATGTTGGCAAACAAAGAGCTCCTAGGCGCCAACACAAAATAGACAATTAAACGAACAAGAAGAAAGGAAGAACAAGAAATGAAACCAGTTCTTAAGAGGGTGAGAGGACAACAATAGAAGACAATAGATGCAACAAAAATCATGGGTACGAGGTCATACAACCACAATTGTACCTATGTGCTTTGACAAGACAGGATAAACCATGAAAATAAAGGCCATGAAAGAAAAGAATTAATGTTTTATGATATAATGGGACTATCACACACAAAGAAACCACAGAGATTCTGATTCATACTTAAATGGAGTGTCTCCTGGATTCTTTTGGCGTGTGATATGCTCAAACTGCCTTCCATTCTTGGCCACAAAACTTGCTAACTTGTCTGCAACTTTCTTCACTGTTGGATCACTTGGAGGATTTGGTGCTGCATGTCACTTAAATAACTGATTAATACCAAGAGCATGAACAAGTGAATGTAAATTACTCTTGTAGCCGCATTTTCCAAATCTTTCATTGAACATCTCTTTCCACCAATGTTTGTAGGGACTTAAGGTATAAGCTGCACGATCAGACAACAGTAACTCAAGAATGTCTGGTCCTCCTCATCCACAATGCCTAGAGAATATTCTCAAAGTACAACATAGAATGGTACAATCTTGACTAATGAAGGGCTTAAAGGATTTGCAACATAAGGCTTCAACAACAGCGATGCAGTAAAGCCTTTTTTTTTACAAGGACAGAGAAGTAGTAAATGATAAGCAATAACACAACTTGCACAAGACATTAAGTGATTATGTGTTATGAGGTCCAACCAAATAGAAATCACCTCATATGCGACCACCAACATAAAGCAAAATAAGTACATTAANTTTTCCGTGATGCATTAGCTTTTAATTCAAAGCTTGGTTTATTAATGACGGCCTTCGGAGTTGACGATCCCAATATACTGGAAGCTGTCTTAGACTCTTTTGAAGAGGCAGTCTTCACCTTTTCCGTTTCCTTCTCCTGTTGGAGCTGTTTGAACCTCTCCATGAAAGAACCATCATTGACAAATAAGCTAGAATCTGTTGCTTTCTCCATTGGCAAAAACCCAACTATTGTTTTCTGCCAGCTGTAACTGCTCAACAAGCAATCTTACAATATATTCAGACACTGAATGGTTTCTTTTTTCTGTAAGTATATATTTAGATACTAAATGGCTGCTTTATTATCATTTCTTTCTCGACTGTTCTGTAAGTGATCATAAGCAGCATTCTCAAATCCATAATGGCATCAGGAAAGAAAATTAATATAACAAAAGAAAAGCAGATTTTTCAGTCTCTTCCACTCCCTAAGGAGCGCATCAGCAGCAAGACCTTGTAGGAGGGTTAAGGCGTGTTTGGTAGACTGGAAAAGGATATTCAAGACAGAAAATGTAAAATTTCCTTTCACTCAACTTATAGAAGGTCGTGGATCCCACACATTCAGTAAAGCCGCAGAACTCCGAAGAAAGATATAAGCATACAGCTACAAACATTCTTCTTAAAATAAATTCATTTACCAATTCAAGCAAACAAATGCTAGATTGTTTTGTTCTTCCTTTGTGTACTTATCCAGAAGAAAAATTCTTCAACCTTCCAGACATTTATGGATTCAGATAGGTAACCTATATAAAATCTACTTCCGATACTTAATAGAACGCATGATAAAAACACATCATCAATCTGATATAGCAATCAGCTGAATAACCTTCCCTAACAGAAACAATACTAAAACAAGCGAAAAGTAGTTTTCGTCAACTCATATGTCCTGTGCTAAAAGCACTAAAATAAACCAGTGTGACACTAAAAGCCAACCTTTTTTCCTTTTGAAATAGTAAGTATTAACACTAACAGACAGACTTAGATTAGTCTTATTTTAGCCCAGTAAAGTAATGGCCCTTTTCTTCAGATACTGCTCTCACTGTCAGCATGTTCTAAATAACATCCCTTTAGCCTGTTTGGAAAACTTGACAGTAAAAAAGAAAAGAAGAAATGTGAAGTTACAGGTATCAGGAAACTGCCCCGCAGCCACAAGTGTATTGGCATGATATTCACAAGTTCAGTGCCATTGTAGAGAACTACGCACTTTTTGGATCCAGATAATGCTTCATATCTTCAAATGAGGACATCTAGTGGTTCACTATTTAATGCATAGCGCATAGCAAATTCAAAATGTGAATTGATTCAATAGATTATAAGGGAGCATGAAAAAGTGAATCTGACTCAATAAATGAAGGGAACGGCCAGCTTGCCCAAAAAGTTTTACATTTACAAGCTGTAATAGAGGGTTTTAGATTTCAAATGATCTGACTGATTTCTCTTATAACTTCATATTTTTAGATTATTTCCAATAATCAGATTTTGTCATCTACAATTGCGTTATACTCACAACCATAACAGCAGAAACAGTTAGGCAATGATAGACGCAACCAGTTAAATGATTTGTTTTATAACCGTGGTGTACATGTCAGCTTGTGCACACCTCGACTAATTCCAAGGGATACCTAACTACCTCCCACTAGCAACTTGTACCAGGTAACTCCGTCCAGGCTTGGATAGATGGAAAAAATAACCTAATATTTTTGTCTGTCTCTACTGGAATTTGAACATGAAACCGCATGGTTCTCAACCCACTTCATTGACCACTACGCCACACACTTGGGTGTCACAGCCAGTTAAATATTATTTCCATCTCCTTCAAAGAGTTCATTTGGACCTGTCTGGACAACATCTTTTTTTTTTTTTTGGACAAGCGCGGTGTTCAGCACGTCCTAGTTTATTGAAGTATTATTCGTGCTTAGTGAGTGAATGACAGTTTTTGGATGAAAAGACCTCCTCAACAATGTTCAACAACAACAAACCCAGTATAATCGATCTGGGGAGGGTAGTGTTTACACAAACCTTATAGGTTATTTCCGATAGATCCCGACTCAAGGAAAGATGAAAAGAAAGCAGAAGCAACAAGCAGTAACTCCTCAACAATTCTCCAACTTGAATTAAAAAAAAAAGGATCACTTTTTGCCTGAAAATATATTTTCAATTTTTTGCATCAAACACCATCTTCCAGTAAATAACTTCACTTTTTACAACGAATTACCATAGGCATCTCCACCCGGAGTGACAGAAAAGCACAAACATGAATGAATTTATAGTCTTGATCGAAAAGCTCATCTGTTAATTGAAACCCCAAAGTCATCAACCATAATCCAACAAACTCAAAATTCGACACGCGATAAAACAAAAACAATTTCCGATAATCACACAAAAAAAGAAAATCCACAATTTCAGGGGGGAAAAACAACTGATAAAAGTAACAAAAAAAACAAAGAAACTAAAACGTTCAATACATTCGTCCTCCGTAAATCTACCTGAGGAATCAAGAATGAAAAGCCGATCCCGAAATCAGCAACCGTACGTAATCAGATTGATTCAACAAAGCATATGAAACTGAAACCCTAAAAACGAAGAACGAGAGCGAAAAATAATTGGTAATGAACACGGGGCGCATGTATGTGTTTTGGGGGAGAAAGCGACGTCTATTAAACGAGAGGACGAGCCTTCGGGCGTAATAGAGTTGAAAATTGGGGATTAATATGTAAAAAAGTTATTTTCCTCTTACCCCAATAATGAAAACATATCATTTTAAATCCATATAAATAATATTTGAAATATATGTTTGAGATAATTAAAATAGTTGTTTTTAAATATGTATTCATATTATATACAAAAACAATTCTAAATATTTGTTATTGAAGAAAAAATTACTCTGAATCAATAAACTAAATTAAGCTACATCAAAGGAGGCTTATTTTAGAATTGTTTTGCAATCCAAGTAGAATATTTATTAGTCTTTGCCTGATTAGAAATAAAGAGTCAAATTCATAATTACATAGATAATATAACTAATTGATATGTAGTATATTTCATACGTTTACGTTAAACTTATTGCTATCTGATATAGTCTAAAGTGATAGATTTATTCTAACAAAATAAAAATAAAGAGACAAAAAGTTGGAAATAAGTTTTTTTCCTAACCATTTCTAAAATAATAAAAAATATAAAAGAACGAGAGACAGAAACGCTTCCCAACCATTCAACTTACTACTTTTCCGGGCAACTGCCAATCAAAAGTCATAGTATATGATTTAACTGGTTATGTTTTTAAATTTTTAATTATTTTCTTGGTAAACTAAAATTTATTATATTTGAGCATCAATTTTGTAATAACTGATCAGTACAAAATCACGTGATGCCGAATCTATTCCAAAGAGCAAGCAAACATAATTGTAGTAGAATTGAATTATAGTTCACAACAAGTAAGAAAAGAATTTATTTAAGTAAAATTTTCCCTAATTTTATATTTCTAAATATTAGGAATTCCTACATAATTCATATTAAAAAAAAAAACTTTAATTGATTTCGAAATCCAAAATATTAAAGAAATAATAATTTAAATTTTAATGTAGCATGTTGCGCGTGTCTCTAAAAGCAATACAAGTACAAAAAATTACAAGTTTTAAAATAAAAATTATGTTGATCATATTTAGGGGGTTTACTTTAGTGGTTCTTTATTAAATTTGTTGTAGTACAAGCTCATTATAAAAAAAGTANTTATATTAGTTATTATAAAATTTATGTCTGATAGACATAGTTTACCAATAGTTAAAGATTTTTTATCAATATTATTTTATGAGAGTGCTAAATTTAGTCTAATCTTTCATATTTTATTATAAAAAAGTAGACTCCTAAACCTAAAAGAGTGCAAAGTGTTCGACACCACTCTAATGTGAATATGCAATATTTTTTCAATTATCCCTTTCTTTAATCCGTCTTTTACTTCTTTTTTGTTTCTTTTAATTTTCTCTTCATAATTTTCGTTTATTCATTTTTTTCATCTATTTAATTTTTGTTGGTGAAAAAAGCACACTAAACTGGAGAAATAAAGAAATTTTCCTAGACTTCAGATTTTAATTTCTTTTATTATTTAATATTTAATGAGAATTCACAATCTTTGATGTCCTGAAAATTTTAGAGTTATACTAATTATTTTATTAACAAAAGGTATTCCTAAATCTACCAAGATGTTCGAAACCCAAAACTTACACAAATGTCCCAAATAAATCTTAACTTACCAACCTCTAGCTATTAGTCATAGACTTACTGAAACTAGCCAACAAAAATTGAAAAACCAAATAATAGGGTTCTTTCTCTCAAAGAATCACATGCAAAAATCACCTTCCATATTTTTAAGCGCGATTAGCAACACTAGATACAAGATGGAAAGAAAATTTCATGGATGAGGTAGCAAATAAGACGATGAAATACAAAAATATATACAATATTCTGAAAATCTAAACAAAAAAGGAACTTTTTCAATGGGTATAGTTGAAATTCGTTAAAAATATACAGATAAGTCAATATACAAAATTTGAGGAAGATTGGAGGTGACTTGGACTGGTTTTGTATCAAAATTCGTAATTAAATCGAGTTCAAAAAAATATTCTGCGACACATGTATCAAACATGTATCACGCATGTATCTCACACACAGGTATACATGGATATACATGTGATACATAATTGATACAAATATGATACATATGTGATACACAAATGATACAGAGTGTGTTACACATATCATTTTTTTCATGTTCAGTTTTTACTTCGAATTTTCAATTCAAACCACCTCAAAACTTCACCAAATCATCCCAAAACTGAGATTCAAGCTTCTTAAGTTGTGCCCAATCTATTCTAATAGCACATACTCAAAACAAAGCAAAAATTTGATATTTTTTTTGCTACAAATAGCTAATTTGGCTAATATTAGTAATATTTTATCAATTGACCAATTTTTATAATGAGCTACTTATAAATGGACATAGCTGGTAATTTTCCAAAGGAAAACTTACACAATTGTCCCAAATAACTTTCAACTTACCAACTTCTAACCATTAGTCGTAGACTTACAAAAACTAGTCAAGCACATATAAAAATTAAAAAATCAAATAAAAAAGGTTCTTTCTCTCAAAGAATATCATGCAAAAATCTCCTTCCATATTTT